GCATTGTCACACTCTTAATGCACCCATGGTACATTAGTAATTCACTCATAAAACACACCTATGATATACTTGTAATGCACATGGTATGAAAGCAATGTACCTGTACCATACCCATGACAAATATCAGTGATACGCCCCAATACTCCCCCATGCCACCCACCCGTAAAACACCCATCATTGCATTACTTACACACAGTGCACCACGATGTTATGCAGACAAAGCGAGTTACACTGGCTTTCCTCATTGCTGACACAATGGACTTTATTGACTCTGAATACAGGGTGGTTTTCCAAAGACCGGGAGAGCCGAGGCAAGATATCACTGCGTCTACTCCACTGAAATGCTCCGCTAGAGACTCACTGGAGTAAATGTCACTCTCCACGACCTATAACAGTTAGAATGTCGCATAAATAAACATAAAACGCGCAAGAAAGGAAACATTCTCACTTATTGTTAGGTAAAATATTTCAATACATTTTAAACTCAAGCGGAATACTACTTTCATCTTAAGGCGAGAGTTTTTCATATCTCCAGTCTTGGTATATCGGAGCTATATATAAACAGTACTAATTTGTTTTTCACCTCAACAACAACAACAACAACAACAACAACAACAACAACACGCATATGCGCACTATCTACTAATACATATTCATACGACCAGGTTGTAGTTCAGTTACAATAAAACATCATGTTGAGTCTTTTTTTCAAATGAATAAATTCGAGTAAGTCTTAACCTAAGCCATGTTTATTTACTATATGCATTTTATTCTAGTAACAAATATTGTCTCTACTGTCAAAGAAAAATAACCTTGATTAACACTTTTGATTTTTCTATCTTATACGAGTCAACTTACTACCAGCCTATACGAGAAAGATGATTTTAATTTTACTGTCATCATTTTCCACCTCTTTACGGCAATATCCCACTCTCTCCTACCTATAGAGTATATATTTCCCAACTCATTCCCCATGCTCCAGCCTGTAGAACATATACAGCCTTTTTCAAAATACATTATCTTCTTTCTTGTGAAGTACCAAGCGACTAGAATTAAAAAGTTGGAGCTGTTTTTAGCTCCATAGCAGAACTTATCTTAGCAATGCTGACAATACAACGCATTGACTGTGTCTTCTATGATCACATGACTTTGAATCATATACTTCTGTCAATCACTTGCAATACCATATTTTATGCTACTCCCGGGAAAATCCGATACACGACCACCGTGATGGCAGGATTAATTGAGCTAGAGCTCATGTCAATGTAGTCAGTATCATCAGTACTACAATTCATATCTTTATTAAATACTAAACTCATAGTAGCTGCCAACATGCTTTTTGTACGTAATAAACTTCGTTAATAAGAATCCTTTTCGGATTGGTTACCGAGTGGAAGATGCGCTGTGAATGAAACTCACAATTTGACTCTATGCGCGATCGTCAGTT